ATTGCCAATTGTTGATAGTTGAAACATTAACATTGATACTGTTATTAATATCTTTCCCAACAATCTAAATACTGAGACAGAAGAGACACATATCTCTGTGCATGGGTATTTATGTGTGTGCCAAGCGCAGTGCTTAACCTTCTTATGTGCACACCCAAAATAATCATCATTTATTGAGGGCTCATGTATAAGATATGATCATTAATATCATTGTCTAACAGGAGTTGAAATTGCCCATGTGAATTGTCATAGCCTAAGGTGTATGTACTATTTGGGATGGATAGATTGAGGATTTCTCCATTAATGGAGAGACAAGTACCACATTTTCTTTGTATTTTGAATGACAAAATTGTTATTTCATTATGTATAAAAAGATAAAAATGTCTTATCATATTATATTTCTTTTGTATTTTTTGTAGTACTTACCTCTCCATTAATGGAGAGGATCGTTACTCGGATAGATTGAATTAGATCTAAAACTAAGGTACTAATCCATGCTAGTGAACACTAATGCTATTAGAGACATTATGACATATTTGTACAATTGATTCATATAAGAGAATAGCAATTGAATTTCCCAATGGATGGGTGAGTAGAGTTGGCTTCCACTTATTGATTGGAGAATGAGGCCCCACATGTTGTTTCTTTTCATTCTGTGTATAATTATTGGATGTCATGAAACAAAGATATGTTGTACTAAATCATTTCTCAAATAATGAACTTTTAAATTTTTTAATTAAAATTACATGTTCTCATTAATATGAGGTATATGATTTGGCACAACATATCTATATGTTGGGGTGTCATGATCCGCAAGACATGAAGGGTGAACAAGGGGAATGCATGTGCAGTGTAGATTGTTAGTCTGGCACTTTTGCATGTTTTGTTTTTTGTGGGGGTTTGGATTTTTATTCCTTTTTGAGCTTTTGGACAATCAATCATGCTTCACATCCCAATCTCTTGTAGTCTTGTACAACAGATATTTTATCAATTTAATTCTCAATCATTTCGTATCTACCCTATGAGAACCAAGAACATGATTTTTACCCCTTTATTTTAGTTCTTATTTCAATTTCAAAACAGGCTTACCAAGCTCTCATTTGCTCTTTGTGTGCAAGTGGAAATTCATGGGTCCAGTGCTCTGTCCCCATTTCATTGGCTGAAAAGCTAGGGACTAGAAGAGATTCCAAAGGAGAAAGGTAATGGATAAAGATCACCTGTGCCACTCTCTGTCTCAATCCCTGTCCTGTCTTGAGCCGCAGTGTTGATTTTTGTTACCTTTTACTTTTAAATTTTATATAGTAATATTATGTTTGGTCCGGGACAGAGATTGGGACAGAGAGTGAAACATATAATCTATGTTCAAAGGTGATAGAGTGAAGGGTTAAAATTAAACCAAAAACTGAAAAAGTAAAACAAGATCCATGTTCCAATTCATCATGGGTGATTAAATTAGTGTCTAATAGTGACAACCATAATCAATATGTCTATTCTCCTTCAAACAACCATTATGATATATTCTCATAAGTGTAACATATGTAATTTTTTACAAAATCTATGTACATAATGATGCTATATGGTAAATCACTAGGCATCATGATGCTATATGGTTGCCCCCCTTGTGTGAGACACATTCCTGCTGTGAAGGGGAATCCAACATGACAAATAATAATGTACAATACTAGTATATCTGTTACATAATTCTCACAACACATGCACTAATGAATATGGTATTAGAATTTGGACTCGTACTAGTGTGGATATTTGGTTGGTTTGTTACCCCATGGATTATTGGATATCTAGTATCAGAAATTCAGAAAACATTAAAAAGTATAAAAATAATTAAACTAATATAATGATACAACACAATAAAGGAAAATAATGATGAGCATCATAACATTTGTTAAGGAATTCAAAATAGAAATATGTGTTGAAAACAGGAGCATTCAACACTTTTCCAAACATATTTCCTATGTTTAAAATTCTGAACAATTAACTTTAGGAAACTCGTTAACATCACATCTAAACTAATTCCATAAACTAATCCTTACATACGTAATTGGAACAAATGTTATGGCTATTTGGTTGCAGTTTGTTCATGGAGTATCTTATTCTTGAAATGCAATGTTTACAATATTAAATTCTCATGTTTGGACTAAGCAACTGAAAGTAGTTTCAAGTTAAAAAAATTCTCACAATTTATCTCCCACTCTTAAACCCCATGCCCATTCATACAAGATGGTGCAGGTTTGGCTGAAGTATCTTATGTCATGGTCTAGCTGAGCCCAACAAGTAACACAACCCGTGACAATTTTTTTCCATATACACCATATTTTTTTTAAAAACTTCTTAAATTCAATCATTCTTAATCGAACAGATAATATAACGTGATATCAAGCTTTTGTAAGCGAAAAAAATAACGTGATATCTAAAGCCATAAAGGCATAATAAATCTTCTTGCATTATAAACCACTCATAAATCTTATAAGGCAGAAAATATAAACAAATTGGGATTGAATATAGATTTCTTTTTTTACTGTATTATTTATATAACTGTTCTTTTCTGTAAATTTTGATTTCGTTTATAAGCTGTGTCGTGTTTTTACTTTTTAGGTATGCTATGTTTGTGCTTCTCAGCTCATAAAAGAATATACCTCTCAATCTTCTACTAAAAACAAAAAAAACTTGTGCTTATTGCACTCAATTGCTGAAATAATATCTTCTTTTTCACAACAAAAGACTAAGTACAGAGGAATGGATAAGATAAAATTCAAATTGTGGCTATGGATTAAAAATAAATAAAAAGACGCAAACAAGTTCTGGTTTGAATATTCTCTAATTCAATTTTGTGTTTGGATTGTTACCTTAGGGATTTGTAACTATATTGGATAAGAGATTTGATTTCACTCCCTGGTTTCCTATACATTTGTTATTCTGTAATTTTCTTATTCTTTTAATAAAATTTTCACAAAAAATATATAGAGAGTCACATAATAACTGAATAAGACAAAGTCCATTAATTTCCATGGCTCATATACAATGCATAAGTTTTTACGCATTATAATAAATTATTCAAACACAAGCAAAAATATAACTACTAATGTATTATGACATCACAACCATTATAACTTAATTGATTAATTATTTAGATAAGGAATCATCAAGAGCTAATATACGAAGCAAACCATCGAAACTAACGCCGCCGTTTTGGTCGCCGCCGCCAAATTTGATCATGGCGTTGATCTCCTCGTCGGTGGCGGAGAAACCAGCCAAAGCCATGTAACTCTTCAAATCCTGGTGGCTGAGCATGCCGTCTCCGTCCTTATCCATCACCCTAAATACATCTTCCATGGCCCCACAACCTAACGCTCTTCTTGCCCCCGTCACCACGTGCTCGAACTCCTCGTACTCCACGAAACCGTTATTGTTCGTGTCTGCCAACATCATCATTGCTCCGATAGTGTCGTCTCCGCCAGAATCGGAGCCGTACATGCCGATGAAGAATGCGCGGAGGTCATCGCGGCTTATTTTGCCGTCGTGGTCAGCGTCTAGGATGTCGAATGCTGGCCGGAAATCTGATGTGGCGGAGTAGGAAGTTGAGGTAGGACGGAGGCTCCGGCCAGAAGGGCACATAATGTTTTATGATTTGATTGAAAAATAGGTTTGGTTGAGTTTTGGGTTATATAGAAATTAGATAGTTGTGTAATAATTGTGTTTAAAAAAGGTCCAGGAATTGTGTTCTTTCGTTCCGTCAATTTGAGGGCCCCACAAAATTTGGAGAAGAATCAGATTTTATTTAGAGTAGTCGGCAAGAATCTTAAATATCTGTACATGGGATTAGTTGAATAATTTGAAAATTTTAAAAAATATTTTAATTAAAAATAATTTAAAATCTGTATCATTAAAAAGTTTTAAAAGATACATGTTATCATATGTGGTTGTGAATAGAATCCATGTTCGCTGTCCTAATACAATTAGATTTTAGAAAAATTGGTTTTTTCTTGAAAATTATTGTAAAATGTTAGAAAAAACTATCCACCAATAATATGCTGATTACAATGAACTTATAAATAAAAATATGTAGATGACAAAATATATATTATTATAAAGATCTTGATACCTTGAAGGTAGGTAATATTAGATGACACAGTTGGGCTTGTTTCTTTGGAAGTTATGATTCTTTCCGATACAAATTTAAATAATATATTTATCATTTTCATTACAATAAAATTTGTTATTATTAACAAGTGATGAAATACGCCCTTGTCTAATTATTTAATAGAGGAAGTTGTTCTTTCTTTAGAATATCATTCCAACGACTTCACAATGAGTTGACCTTGTGTTGTTAAGAAGTATGGACGTGGCTACATATTCTGCCATACCATCAGACTTAAAATTTATATATATACTACTGAGTGTTACTGCATAAATAATATATATAAAATATTATTTTATGTTTTGATGATTTTTGTTTTTAATTGATTATCACTTTCTAATTAGATAGAGATATAATTGAGGACATAAATGGAGATACCCAATCTCCAATCTCACACCCACCATTCTTGGGGTAGTATCTAGCATATAAACCTATGAGTCTCTCTCGTTAGTATAAATAATGAAGTTAACAATGGACAATTTTTATTAAAAAAAGTGTGTAAGTTGTTTAATAAAATATAACAGCTTATGTTCCACTTTGCAGGTTGAGGTTATGGGCCTCTAGTCTTTTCGATAAGTGAACCCTAATTCATGTATCTTCACTATATAAACCAAAACTACGCTTTCTACTCAGTACTCCACATATACCTTTTCTTCCAAAACTCTTATGTATGTCTCTTTAATTTTTCACAGTTCTTATAATGGAACATGGGAACTGAATGAGTAGTGTTAAATGCTTTTTTATTTTCTTTTAAAACATTTTGTCTTGCATTTTGAGATGCCTTTGATTCACATGCCATGAATTATTGGTTTTTTTAACCTATGAAGTTATGTTTATGCGGGGATTCTATGATGGCATGAAATCTTTGAGACCTGATTGTCATATTTGATGACAACTATAAGCATAATCACTGAGAATCCCTTATAAGTTATAACCCACGTTGTATATTTTTTATTTTGGTTGTGTTATTTTAGTTTTAGAATATACTAATTGATAAATAGGGGAAGTAAGATATAATTGAATGATGAAATAAGCACTGGGCTCTGAGCAGTTTGATTAATTACCTGCTTTATTGATGCACATTGCTAGCCTAGAAAGCTATGTCTGACTAATATTCTCTTAAAAATGGGTTTTGAATATGAATCTGATTCCAATAATTGTTAAATTTCATTTTTGTATTGAGAAGTAAATAACATTAAGGTCAAGATTGACAATATATAAAAAAAATTACAAGTTGATAAATACATGTTTTCCTTTAAGATGTTTTGAAGAATTAATTGAACAATTGCATTACATTTTGATTTGATTTAAAAAACATAGATATGCTCAAGGGACATATCTATTTAGATCCGTTCAAAGAGGTATTGAAAGTCAAAAATACCGGATAGAGTGATTGCGAGACAATGAAGTTTTAAAATTATGTTAGGGATGTTTATCAGTTACAGTACCACAGCTCAATACTAAATCAAGATATAATAATCGGAATGTATTATGTATACAAAGTAATACACTTATAATTCTGAATTCCTATGACTCAAATGGAGCTACGTTATAATTGTAATGGCTTGAACCCTGTAAAGTTACTCAAGTTGCTGAATTAACCATTATCCACTAAAATAGTGGCTCTCTAGTGTAATTGTTATGGTACGTAGAATTAAACTCTCATATAAATGTTGGGGAGGGATCCACTTACTCTAAGAGTAAGTGGAAAAACACTTACTCCACATCATGACCATTCATTCTTGGGAAATCCAATGGTTTGAATTGGTGAGTACATCTAAACCATTGAATTTTTCAAGATTTGATGGCTAAGATGAAAAGTAAGTGTTTTTTGAAGTAAGTGGATCCCTCCCCATAAATGTTATCCTAAAAGAGGATGTGGGGTAAGTCATTTTCCACTTACTCTTGGAGTAAGTAGATCCCTCCCCATCCTAAAATAACATAATATTTAAAATGGGAGGAATGATGGAGGCACCCTACTTCAGTCACTCAGTTTTATGAATGAATGAAAACAAGTATAATATAATAATTAATAAATAATAATGAGCAATATTATTAAGGGATTTTAGTCCGCCATGTAAGGTTTTATCTCTTATTCGGACCTAAATATTGGTCGTGCTATTTTTTTTGAACTCATACTTAGCGTTAGATCTTAAGCTAGTTCGGCCTCATATGTCGAACAAGTCAGTCTTTGAATCCAACTCTTATCCCGATTAAATATAAGCATATGTGATTTGAAATATGTAATTATATATGTACATATTGTTAATCATATATGATAAAAATAGAGAATCAATGATAATTTAAATAAAAAGATGTCATTAGACTGTACACAGTTGAATAAATAAATAAATAATACATTATGAATGAGTATCATTAGGTTATATTTGTCTCTTTGGATCTAATTTTTAAATCCTATCCTAGACCTATTGAAAACGAACCCTATTTAAGTCTGATAATAAGTAAAAGTCAAATCGGACGAGCAAATTGGGTATCATGCCTCTCTTCGCTGCTTCTTCCTACTTTGTAGTTTCTTACCTTAGTTGTTTTTTGTTGTTGTTGTTTCCCATTTCACCATAAAAAAATGCGTACAAATTTGAAATTTAATGGGAAAAAGGCGTTGAAAATCTTAATAATATGATAGTAAAACCTATAACGTGCAATACACTAGTATTATTATTTTTATATGAAGATGTTATTCTAATAATAATTGAAGATACCAATAATGTTATCTTGACATATGAGCAACAACCTGGTCATTAAGACACGGGGGAGGACAGTTCAAAATCGCTTGGATCACTGCATTGGGCAGCTTAGTAATTAAGTGTTCACTGTCCATGAATTATTCTGAATAATATTTCTCACTTGAAGATGCAAATCATGAATCTTAATAAAATCAACCACAAGGAATCCAGTGATCAAACCAGATGGAACTTCCAGGAACCTAATCTCGAGAAATTTTATCAATCAAAATCCTCATGCTTTGATGAACAAAAAAAAATCAATAAACAAACAGCTGCTTGATGCTTGAATGTAATTGAATCGCCAAAATAAAAAATAAAGAAAAATCCATGACATGGATATTGGAATAAGACTTAAGGTTAAAAAAGGGAGTCTCTATAAATAAATTTCAAATAACATGTTTAACTTCATCTCGAGCTTCTCCAATGATCTCAAAACCAGAAACCAAACCGTGCCTCAACACTGCTAGTGGCATATTCAAGGCAAGTTTAGTCAATGACAATTATTCCAGTGCCAAAAAGTTGTACACAAGACAGAGCATGTTTACAATCATATAGGTCAGTGATCAAGAGCACTTCGAATTGAGATTGGTGAATTTAGCACTGTGCCTCTGGATATAAGGTCGTGGTTTAAGAATAAAACTATAACAGATATATCATCATGAAAATGGCGCCGAACCTTCTTGTCAATCTTCCGAAGGTCTGAATATCGCATTTCTCTTTTTCTCGCTGCTTCGTGAAGGGCAGCTTTGATAAGTCTCTTGGCACTACCCTGCATGCAGTAAAAGAATTTTAGTTCCTTCCCTCAACAGTACACAATGGTGACAGACTCAATGTGGAAGAAGGCCACAATGGTGACAAAAGAAAAATTTGAATCTCATCAAGAAGAAAGAATAAGAGCAAATAAGATTCAAACATGGACAATCAACATGTATAGCATGCAATAAATATTTGGGCCCTCTACAATGATAACACGTGAAAAGAGGACTCACCCTCATTAAGCTATTGTTGATGCAATCACTGGGTTAAATTAAGTTTTGATACGGAAAAAAAAAAAATCAAAACAAAGCATTTCATGTCCATCTAAAATGCGTGATGAAAAAAAAACCGGGTTAGGAAAGATAAATCAATAGGTACTACAGCAAAATTCAACCACGGGATAAAATAATCTTACCGCATGTGGATTGCTGTTGACAATATCCACTGCTTTTTCATTACTCAGGTGCTCCCATAAACCATCTGATGCAAATATAAGAAAGGAATCATTTGGCTGAAGACTGTGAGAAAGAATAGTGGGATTCGCAGTCATGTAAGGCATGTTCATTGGTTCAGGGAGTCTGAATTTGGCGCCAAGTGGTTCCCGGTTAAACTGTGCTTGTTTCATATATACGTCACCTATAGATCTAGAAACCTGCAGCAAAAACAATGAAGGAAGTGGTGATATGTTAATGTCATTAATTTTGAAGGTGGAAGAAAAACTGACAAATAAGATAATGGATGCAGAACTGAGAACTTCCACCATTCACTAACAAAATATATGACTAAATAAATAAAATAAAATGCAGGTTGAATTAAACTGGAAAGCATATCGACTGTCTTCTATATGATCACTGGACTCATTTTTAACATACAAATGCATTACACAACAAATATTTTTTTCTTCCTAATTTTCAAAGATAAACAATTTACTTCCATTTATATGGTTAGGTTTTATACTCACAAACTAGTGACTGAACCATAAAAAATATTTTCAGGTCTTTGAACACTCTTACATATGGAAAATTATACACAATAAGTTTAAGAGATTGATACAGATATGCTACAAATTCAAACACTGCATAAAATTCTTCTGCAGTCTGCTTAAGTGAAGAGTGACTCTAGTTCTAAAACAGCAGCCCATTTGGTGTTGCCCTTCCCTACAACAACTTCCATCTGAACCAGGCTATTTGGAGCCTTCAGTGAATTCTGGCTTTGAATTCTCAACACAAATCAATTCCTTCTTAGTGGCTTCAGGTTTTTTGTATAACTAAGGAAAAGCACATTGGAATTCTGTGTCTATGCTGCTCTTGCTGCATTGGGATGAAGTGAAATGTTCATATTTTCAAGAAATCTTCTAAGCCTTGGCATCTGATATGGGGCATGATCACTTTTTTGGCAGCCACGCGATCAGATAAACAAAAGGAACAGAAAACTGATTTCCTGTTTGTCTTTTCTATGTTTCTTTTTGTGCCTTGCTTAGTATCCTTTGTAATCTTTCTTTGTCCTCTGTAATAATCTACCGACATTCTTTAAATGAGAAAAATCCATATATTTCTTAAAAGTAATAGCACTTACTTTACTGCCTAAGTCAACCTTTGCAACTATCATATGAACAACCCAAAAGAGGCTGTGTGCCACAATGCCTTAGCAAATTAAGGTGATTAGGACTTGCCTAAATGTGGGATTTGGTACACAAAAACAAAAATAGGTCGTTTCATCTGCATTTTAAAGGAATTCTGGAAAAGGTATTACAGAAGAACAAGATAGCAAGAGATTGAGAAATAAGAAGCTTCTTAAAAAAAATTATCAGGTCAATAATTTCAGTAATAAACACATACAAAGTAAACAACCAACAACAAAGACATAATCCCACTAGGTGGGATTGGCTACACAAACAAAGTAAACGGACAACTATAATCTAAGACTCTGGCTTTACTTGTCTTGTATCTGTTTGACTTATGTGGATTCAGAAACCATATATCAATGTGCACCACCCAATTTTAACAAACAGAAGAATGAACGTTAGAGACGCAGGTTAAGTTGCTTCAAACACTATTGATCTACCAAAATTCAAACTCTAACTTTCGTCTGCATACCACTTGAAGAAGAGCAAACAATAAATAAATGGTTGACCACTTCCATGCAAGCACCAGTTTTCATGTGTAAGACAAGGATCTCTAGACAACAACTATAAAAAATTACCTGAATAATGCCTTTTACCCTCCACACTCCATGCTTGAGGACAACAATTTGGGGATCATTAGGGTGTAATTCTTTAAGCTCGTGCCTAATTTCCTCGAGACTTGCATTATGTTCGGTAGACAGCTGAATTGCAGCCATACCTCCAGTGTTGCCAACTTTCCTACCTAACACAGCACGGGAATCTCCAACGTTTGCAACAAAGAGTGTCTGCTGAAATATCACACCAACTAGACAACAGGATCCAGCATTTGCTATCTGAGGTCGAGTACTCCATAAGTCCGACACGAGGGCAGTGTACCCATCCTCTGTTTGGTGGTAAGCCCTTTCAATAGTCTCAGCTGTCAAAACCCCGCTTGACTCAGCTGATATTGCTGCATAAACATGAAACACAATATAAGACAACCAACAC